CCATGAAGTGTCACCAGACCTCAGGAATATATACAGTGTGTCCATGTCATTTGTTAGGCCTGTTTTCAGTGGTTTTGATCTGCTGGAGAAGCTACAGCTGCTCTCTCTGCTCAGACCTTCACCTCTGGGCTGTTTTAGGGCTCCCCACTTGTCCCACTGCCACAGCACCCGTAGGAGGCTGAAGACGTCCCCGCATGGCCGACCCCCAGCCCCCGCCGACGCCGAGGCTGTCCTCTGGGAAGTCGAAGAGGGCGTCATCGTCCAGGAGCCGCTCGTCCAAAGCCAGGTCCAGCCCAGCGACCCCTGACGCCAGCGGAGCCCTGCAGGAGGGACTGGAGCCGGGGCTGAGAGGTGCGCATTGGTGGCGGCGGTCCGGACACCCCCAGGGGGCAGCGCCAGCACCGCGCCGCTTGGCCGGAGCGTCCCGCTGCTCCCCTCATCTCTCCTCTGACACCCATCTGAGAGTGAGCAGCCCTGTAGGTGTCTCTTTAACCCTGCAACTTTCTCTTCCAGATGAACAGGACCAGGAGACTCAAGAGCAGGGCGCAGAGCCTGACCGCAAGCCTCAGACACCCATACTGGAGCCCGACCTGGTATTTGTTTTTAATGATCTGTTTGTGATTCATAGAGACACTCTATAATATCTCACAGATCTGCATGGGTCAGCAAAATCCCGTCCTCGACAGTTGTTCAGTGGATGAGACATCAGCCCGAGGTCCCGCTGTGGACTCTGCAGGAGTCATTTGATAGAACCACATCTCCCTGTAATTTATATGTTCCTCTTTTCAGCAGTGTTTGAAGCAAATAATTAACAAAGTAAAAGCAGCGTTGCCTTCCAGCTCTACCAGGGTAAACTGCTGTTTTCCTCCCCAACGCAGAAGCCCCTATTTAAGAAGCGCGTGTCCCTGAGCGGCCTGACGGAGGACATGTGGACGGAGGAGAATGACCAGGCCCTGGACGGCTTCATCCACAACCCCTCCCTGACCACCCTCGTCGTGTACCTGGACCCCTACGCAGGGCTCAAGGTGGAGAACGCCGTGCCAGCACAGGTGGGTTTCCTTCGCCGCCTCGTTCTCCCTCTCGGGACTCCTTATGTCATCAGGCATAAACACGGCTGAAAGTGAACCTCTTCCAAGGGCCTGATGATTTAAGGAGACCTACAAAATCTGCTTGACCTTATTGACCTCAAGGAATTTAAAAACATGATCTAGTGTCTTAGAAATTGATAAATAATAATAATGGTGGTGGCATTTTTCATTATAGTATTATGATAATAATAATAATAATAACATCTCTTTATTAACCCTTTACAATTTCTTGCATTAGGAATTATCTTTTCGCATATCCCACCTTGCTCTCCAAGAGACACACAGACAGGGAGAGAGAAGCTTGGGGTCAGGGCGCGGGGTCAGCCATTTATACAGCCCCCCTGGAGCAGCTGGGGTTAAGGGCCTTGCTCAGGGGCCCAACGGAGTAGGATTCCTCTGCTGGCTGCGGGATATGTCATGTATTATTATTATTATTATTATTATTATTACTGGGAAGGTTATATGGGGGTGAATGCATATAATTTACAGGATTGGGAAATTTCTTCATGTTCAAACGACAAAAATAGCATGAAATGTCAGGACTAAGTGTCCTGGAGGGGACACTGTAAGCACTCTTGTCAGCTGTGAGTGGCGGCTGGGTGCAGGTTGTGCTTTGCTCTGTGGACAGAGATGCTGCATGACGTCAGCAGTGCTTGACTGGTGTCTCCCCTTCTCTCCCCTAACTTGCTCTTTTCAGCTGACAGACCAGATATGCTACTTCATCCGGAGGGAGGGCGCCCCGCTGACGGAGGAGCTCTTTGAGTCGACAGTGCAGTTTGGCACGGCCAGGGGGGGGCACACCGAGAGCCTGCTGCGGCTCATGAACGGGGTGTACGCCCCCCAGGTCTTCGGCAGCTCCGCCTGGCCCGAGAGCATCAGGAACAACTTCTCGGCGCACATGCATCGCTTCCTGGCCAGCCTCACAGGTCACCGCTGTCCTCTCTGCGCCCAGCGGGCAGCGCTCTCGTGCCGCTCTGCTGCCCTGCCCGCCCAGGGTTTCGGCTCGAACTGCCCACGGGCTTTGCTTGTGCTTGAAGGCGGAGCCCTCTGTCCTCTGCCTGTCCTCGGGCCGAGCCCAGAGCTGGCCAGTCAGCTGTGGGGTTGTACAGAGGAGGGATGGAACTAGCATTATCTAATGCCTTCAACGTCTTGCCCGTTTTTCCTTGTTTCCAACTTTCTTTCACATCCTTTCCTTCTTTCCCCTCACGAGTTCATTTTCTCTCTTTTATTTCAACCTTGTTTCTTTCTCTTATATTTCATCCTCGTTGCTTTCTCTTTCTCTTATAAGGCACTGCCTAGGTCTTGAACCCGAGTCTGGCTGCTTGCATTAAGCACCATGGGAATTGAAGACCTTGAGGGGTCTAAAGCATAAGCACCTTTTCAGGGAGCTGTAAATAGCACTCTGATTGCATCAGGAGCCCCAGCAGATCAGTCGGAGATGCAGTTTTGAATATGGAAATGTGAGCGTCTCCGCTGAGCTGCGGCACAACGCCCTGCAGCAGGAGTGAGGTTACGCCACTCTCGGCCTCTCGGCCTCCCCCTGCCTCCCTGGCGGAGACCACCTCCTCTCCTCCTTCGGCTGCCTGGTGAAATCCATCCCTCGGAAGCGCGGAATTAGAATGCGGAAAGGGTCCGCTCACAGCAAAGGTTCTGAAATCTTCCCATGCAGCTGCTACCTTTGTGATGGCATCTAGTTTTCTGAATACGTGTCTGGATCACCTTCAGTTTTTCTTGTGTTACATTTGGGATTGCTTATTGCCTTAACGGAATAAGTATCAACTCCAAAACTTCTGTTTTCATCCACGATGCGCAATGCACTTAAACCCAGTAGGTGTGTTGGATCCGAATGATGGCGACAGAGGGGCGGAATGTGCGCAGGGTGTTTGGCGTGACTCTCCTAGCTGAGGGAGTGGCAGTCTAGCTGCTCACACCCCCCCCCACTACAGCCAGGACTGAGCCAGGGAGCTCAGATGGCGGAGGGGGGCACTCGAGAGAGATAAGGGGTGGGAAGACCTGGGTATGAGACTTATATACGCAGGCAAGCAGACGTGTGTGAGATTAGGATCTCGCCTTCCTCCCAAATAAAATTATGCACCTTATGAGGAACACAGCTACAGGAAAATGCAAAAAGTTTCCAGTGTGCACTGGGCGGTGCGGAACCTCCTGGAGGAAAGGTGGTAAAAAAGATTATCTGCTCCTGTTCCAGATGCCAGATTCAAGCTGGAAGGGCACACAGTCCTCTACATCCCCATGGAGGCCCTCAGGCTGAAGCCAGAAGTAGCTGCCAAGGACAAGGAACTGGTTCAGAGGCTGGAGAGTGAGTGCCGGGGCCTGTGTTTCGCACAGAGGTCTGGACAGACAGGCGCAGGGCAGGAATCGTAAAGGCAACAGATTGCATTTATTTGCAATGCCTAGTTTCTAATAGGATTCCTAAACTACTGTAGCTCCCTTTTTAGATTTATCTGTTCTGTGTGATATTTAGAGGTTTATTCTTCTTGGTACAGAGTGAGTAATGGCTTAATCAATGGGACATTTTGGTAATACAGGATGTTTTAGTACTGTGCTCATATAAAAACCACTACTGTAAAAAGTACCTTACGCCTCCAGCCCTTATCACAACCTCTGCTCATCCCTCATTATCTGAGCTTGTTTCTTTGGAGTGGAAAGCAATACCACACAGGACTGGACAGGATAGGGCATGGGCACCAGGATCAGGGGTAGATCCTGCCCAGGTCCGTTCTCTGACAGATAACAGTTGCTATAGTGAAATGCCACCCATTGCAGCGCAATACCAACCTGCACCTGTCTGTCCAGACTGTCACAAAGTATCTCTTAAGATATGAACCCTGTCTGAAACATGTTTAGTCATTATATCATTGCTGAACTGTCTTGTTTGTCAACGGTTCTTTTTCTCATTTAGTTGACATGCCATTCATCCTTGCAAATTGTTGAGCTGAGTGCTTATGAAATAACTAATTACAGAGAGTAAATCAGTTTTCAACTATAACATCTTAGCTCCCATATGAGACAGATGAAAAAAAGGGAGATGTTTTATAGCAGTAAGCATGTTGGAAGTCATTCCCTAGACAAGATATCACATATCTGGATGTACAGTATCTGTAGAATTACTTAACTGATTACAGTACAGCTGGGCTGAACAGTTAGGGTGAAATATGGCACCTTCCGCACTGGGGACTCGAACAAGTGACCTTGTGCTCAGACTTGTCCTGTCTCTGTTCTTTTACAATAGCGGCAATGATCCACTGGACCCGTCAGATTAAGGAGGTGCTGAGTGCCCAGGAGGCTGTGGAGACGGGGGACAGCTCGGGGCCCCTGGAGGAGATAGAGTTCTGGAGGAGCCGCTGTGCTGACCTGTCTGGGATCAGCCAGCAGCTGGACAAGCCAGGGGTCCAGCACATCCAGGCCATTCTGCAGATCTCCAAGTCCTCCTACGTCACACCCTTCCGCAAGCTCTCCAAGCAGATCCAGGTGCGGAAAAGGCACAGGTTGCATTACCCACTGTCCCACAGAAACTCCCCTTAATCACATACAGTACCTCCAGTTCCTTGGACTTCATTGCTTTTGCAGACGTAGTCCTTATAAACTCAGAATGCAAATTGGAGAATTAATCTCAGACAGGCTGGGCATCCAGCAGAACTAATGACTTTGCCTCTGGCACTGGAAGAGCAGAAGTAATATCTTAAGTCACATCTATATCCAGGGCTGGCCACAGGCCTCCACCACTGCTGGATAAATTTCAGTTGTCCAGGTGTGCCTCAGTGACTCCTGGGACTTGCTGCAGAGACTCCAGTGATTCAGTTGCTGTTGTCTCTGCTGTAGGCCTCTATGGAGCTCAGAATGAGGTCCACAGCAAGGTGCTCTGAGAGGTCACAGATCTTCTTTCTCCCTGTGTGGCGCAGGGGTTGTACAGTAGCAAGCAATATTTAATTCCAAACTGGAAAAACGTAACATGAAATAAAAGGTGATTCCAAATGAAAGAGTAACAACAATAAAAAAACCCAACAAGATTACTCTCGGACTTTCCCCTTCCCTGTCTTCAGGACAGCTCCCTCCAGGCCCAGTCCAACCTGTCCTTCCTCTCCATCCTGGCGGAGCCCTGCGAGGAGCTGTCCCGGCTGAAGCCCCGGGAGATCCCCGACAAGCTGCCCCACCTGCTCAGCCTCATCCGCATCATCTGGGTCAACTCCGTCCACTACAACACCCGGGAGAGGCTCACCTCCCTGTTCCGCAAGGTACCGGCCTGCTCCGAGCGCGTGTTCGTGTCACCGCCATCTTCTGAAGTACGTGTCCGCACCCGGAAATGCCTCATCTGTCAGCCCAGGGCGTTCTTTGCTCCATCTCCTCAGCTGCAGAGAGCGCTAGTCCCCAGTGAGGCACAAGCTGTGCGTATTGAAAGGTACAGGTCAGCGGCTGAGACTTATCCCGAGTTTTCATGGCACCTGCATGCAGCTGCCATCTAGTGGACTGAAATTAGACACACTGCCTAAAACTTTTAATTGGCCGTCCTGCTGGCGGTAGCCTGTGTTCAGGAAGGCTTGCCCTTGCAAAGTGGGTTTCGAAGAAAGACTCCAAAGGAAGACAGATCCGAAGAGATCATATGACTGGGAGCGGGATTCCCAGATGGCAGGGGTTAGTGAGCACGAGCAGCCACTATGAGGCGCTGCCCTAGCGCAACTCCTATAATTTGCCAATCCAAAATCAGATTGCTGATCTTTGTTGAGAGTGTTTCAGATACCCAGTAATAAACCATTTAGTAATCTAACTCCTCTCCAATTAATCTGCAACGATGACCTAAGCTTCCCTTATTTTAAGATTATTATTTGTCTTTTTCTGTGCATTGGTTTTGTACTGGCAGGGAGGCCTACATAAGGATGCAAAGCCACTATAAAGGTGGCCAGGGAACAGTGCTGGGCATCACAGACAGGAGCATTCTGTCCAGATCTGGATCTTCCAAGTTTATATCCAGCATTACCTCTTGGCCAGGGCACAGGGAGCTTATCTGTGTGTAATGTTAACTAAAAAATGAATTACGCTTGGTATTATTTTGTCTTTTAATACTGCATCACTTTGTTAGATTTAAGCAAGAGAGAGAGACTGTCTTTGCAGTTTTTTTCTGATCCGCTCTACTACATCAAGACAAAAAGGAAGATGATTAATGAAGTGCGGCACTTATGTTTTCTTAATATATGTAATTTGCAGGAGCCTTAACCCGCCATTGCTACGCTATTAGCTTCCAGCAGGCGGGAAGCAGATTGCAAGTTGTTAGGTGCTTAGATGTGTCAGATAGTTAATAGGTTTCGGAGCAACTTAAGAGAAGCTCTCCAGCTTTTAAGAGTGCCAATTTCTGCCCATTTGAAAAGAATACATGGAAAAAGAGCAAGCCTAATTATATTACATTTTGTCATTTGTTTCTGTCATTTTCATTTGTCATTTACCATTCATTGCATGCTGACTAAAGCTGAGCCCTCGTTCAGTCTCAGTCTCAGGTGCTCTCGCCACGGAGGACAGTGGTGTCTTTCAGTTGCATGGATTTGATTCGTTCCTGCAGGGATGAAATTAGTTGCTGGCGTAACTGGAAAATCAATACGTCTGGATAGACCAGAGCAGCTCGCGGTGCTCGATTTTCACTTTTAGGACTTTGCTGCTAATTTTTAATCATGGGCATTTGCATTGTGTAGGCAGGCACTGCTGAGCTCTGCCCGTCTGCTGTGCTGTCCCCCTGGGGGTCTCTCCCTCCCTCTCTCTCTGCTCTCACTTGAGAAAGAAAGTCATGTTTGGTTTAATATCATTTTTAATCACACCGCTGGAAGGCATTAAATTCACTGCAGTGAATTTCCTTTCTGAGCGTTGTTGTCCTTGTTATTATTATTATCATTATTATTATCTTGCCTGCAGTGTCTTTCTCCGAGTGCTTTTCTGTGTGCATATTTGATATTACCAACGCCATCTGGTGTTGATTTTGGATCTGAAGTCAAAAGAATATTCCAAGGAGGAAGCCAAGCCTGGCTCGGCTTCTCTGCGTTCATTCATGTTCATGAAAATTACATTACGTCCGTCCTCAGAAGGAGATCTGACATGTGATACATTGATTCTGACAGAGATGCCTAGATTGAAAGTGCAGATGAAAGGCTTATAAAAGCTTAAAAAGTTTCAGCAGGCCATGTGTTTGTTCTTAATTTTTTCTTCCCCAAAAACAAAAAGCATAAAAAAGCCACATTAATTCAATATTTTTCACATTTATTTCTTTTTGCCTTTAGCCTTATTTGGAATTGGATTTACTTATCTGCAGTATTTAATTACACTCCCTGTTTGTTTGTGTTTTTAACTAATAACTCAAGTCGCCCGAGACTTGATGAAAGCAGGACCAGATCGTGCTAAAGTAAAAGGGTCTAGTGAGTGGTGTCCACAGGTAAACCCGTAAATTAAAACCAGGAAAGGATGTTACCATGGATGTTAAAATAAAAGTTTTTTTATCAAGTACTGTATTAGAACAGCAAAAGAACAGTCTAAGACAAGTAAAGGACTTTAGAGATAATAATGAGAAACACTCCTACAAAAAAGGGAATGTTTTGCTCAGGTGTTTGCTAAGGAAGAAAGCCTAGACTGCGAAAAGTCACTGTTCTATCTTCAAAAGTAGAATACAAGAGGCAGAGGTGTTACAAGCACTAGAAGACAAACGAATCTCCTGGGACAGATAGTATTTTTAATCATAGCACTAAAAACAGTATGTACCAAATATGGGATTGTACCAGATGTACTTAACAGTGAAACACAAACCAGGATGCAAGCTGGAATTATGAGAAAGTGCGTTTAAAGCTGAAATATAAAGATGAAGTATGCTTGTTTAAGGGTGGTGGAGATCTGGAGCAAGGTGCCCAGCCACATTGTTGAAGCTGCAACCCTGGACTCTTTCGAGAAGTGGCTGGGGGAGAGCCTCTGACCAATTAGCTTCTCACAAGGTTCAACATCTACAAGATGGGCGGGCCAAGTAGATTTCTCTCATTTGCGGTCTTTCTTTCAATAAAGAAGTAATTTTGTCATCTGTATTATCCTCACCTTTATAAGTGATCTGCCGGATGAATGTCTTCCCATGATTGCTCCTTGACCTCTTGTCTTCAGCTCTCACACGTCCTTGCTCTGAGACTTCAGACTTCTTGATTTCATATTGCTAGCTTTCCACAAGTCTCTCTGTCCTTTCTGTCTCTTGTGTTTCCTTAGTCCAGCGATGATCCATCCCCACTGCAATTTTAGTGTCTTCACTCTTACAGTGATGTCAGTTTGCTCCAGCCAATACATCTGTTTCTTCCTCTGTCACGTCTTCTTATCCAAAATGCACATCTTTCCAGCTGTCTTTGAGTCGTCTGTAGCTTCTGTATCCTTTATACTTCCTTGTTCCTTTTCTCCAAGATAGAGCCCTCCTGTTGAAGAGTATAAGACAGGTTGCAAACGAGAGGAGGCCTGTCAGTCTGTCTTGCTCAGTTCTTAGCCTGTAGCTTATTGATCTTAGGGTCTCAAGAGGCAACACACAATTGCCTGAGGCATCCCAGGGAATCTGCTTCCACACGGCTGTACGGTTTGTTCCAGATTCCCACTGTTCTGTGCTCTGAGTGCTTCTTGATCACATGCAGGGGCTTAGCCAGAGCTCTGGCAGGGGTGGCGGTTGCCCATTTTAAACATAATCTAAATTCCCATAAGTGTGTTACCTGTACATTTTCCAGAAAAATTAAGTGTAAGCATAGGAAACAATTACAGTGTGTCTTTAATGTTTTTTAAGAGTGTACACGTATCCTGGATTGTAAATGTTCTGTTTTGATAAATCTGTGGCAGATCATTGTAGATTGTTCACATTCAGCAAAAGTGAAATGAAAACTTTGGCTTAAGCCTCAATTCTGCTGTCTCTCCCATAGTGTAAAACAGAGGTTACCAGTGCAACTGCTACAGAGAACAGTAGCACACTTTTTAGCAGCACATTCTATTTTAGAAAGCAAAAAATATTATTTAAAAATGCCACCCCCATAGCTGTCCCTGTCACCCCAAAAAAAATCCTGGCTACTGCACGGATCACATGGTAAGTTTGGCGAGTTAACCGGTAATCACACCCCCTGTTCCCTCTCGAACTGATGCAATTATTCCTTTGCTGTTCCAGATGAGCAACGAGATCATCCGGCTGTGCTGCAGGGAGATCTCGCTGGACAGGGTATTCGAGGGCTACGTCCTGTCCAGCAGGCAGACCCTCAACGACTGCATCCAGTGCTGTCTGGCCTGGAAAGAGCACTACCTCCAAACCTCTCAGCTGCACCATAGGTAGAGGGGACCTTTCTCTTTTGCTCCTTTCTCTTGTCTCACTGCCTAACTACAGTAGGAGCAAAAGTTGGTTTACATTCCAGGAATACGTTTGCAGCTTTTTACCTAAACTGCTGTTGTTGGTTGCTGGAGTGGGTTTTGACATAAGCATGAATTAAAGCAAAACTTCAACCGACCTTGATGCACGGATAACCTTGAACTTTAAAGCTTTAAGTCCTGGGTTGAACAAATTTGGACGGCCTGTGGATCATAGTATTGATTTAATGTAGGTAGAATGATTATGCATTTCTGGTTGTTTCAGAGAGTTGTTTCAAATATTCCACATTTTGTCAGAACCTGAAAATGGACAATTTAATCGATCTACTGTAGGAACAGGAGGTGGATCTGTATTAAAAGTCACCCAGCAAGAATCCCCAGACCCAAGCTTACTGCTTTTACTTTCACAAAGGCATGCAGGCTAAGGTGCTGCACAAGCACCCTGTGTGGAAGGACTCAGGTGAGACTCCCATTGCAGTCCGATTTCTGCCAGTTTTTGTGGTTTTGTCGATCAGACTCCCATTACCAAGCTGAAGATCCAGTCCACAGTTTATGAGCTGAGCTACATGTAGGTCTTGTACAGATGGAGCGCCAGGCTCTGGATACTTCAGTTGTGACTGTGCTTTCACATACAATATTAAACATCATCAATGCTTTTCTGCTTCACCCCTGGAGTTTGTGCCAGAGCTGGTGCAGCTGGAAAGCCTGAAACAGATCGCATCATCTACTCCTGTATACTTGCTATGAGGCTTTTCTGTTCCTTTTGGAAAGAATAGTGTTAAACTTTTTCCAAGCAGTAAAAAATACAGCTAATTTTTAAAATATACAGTGAAAATAGCCAGTGAAAAGCTTTCAGAGTCTCGTTGATGGGTAGTCCGGCGCCGCCAGGTCAATCAATATCACATCTGTAATGTCTTAAACAAGCGGGAGCAGAGCCGCAGTGTCACGAGGCGATGCTGTGATTAATGGCATCAGCAGAGCGGCCTGGCTGTGCCTTTTCATTCTGCTGGCGACCTGTTTTCTGTTCTCTGTTTGCAGACGTTATTTAATTACCCAGTTAATGAAATTAGCTTTTGAAATCAATGCGTTCAAGAGAAGTCCCCGATACATTTAACACCTTGTACTCCAGGACCTTGTAACGGTGCCTGTTTACTTCAAGTAGCAGCTGACAAATTGCTGGGCCAATTGAACTGGAATGGATGCAGCTGGCCTTGCCCAGAGTCTGGCTAATTCTGGGAACTGTAGAAAACCAGCAACACGACTGTGAAGACAGTTTTGTTCCCATTCCAAGTTAAACTAAACTTTGTGGAGGAGATCTTGCACCTGCAACTTCTTTTCTTTGAAACTGTATTGCAGACAAGTTCGTTTTGTGTTGTATGAGTTTAAGAAACTTGCCAGACGTATGAGGTAGTTATTGGAGCCATTTAAAACGTGTTTTTTCTGGGGATGATTGGGAAGGCTACAGGCAGACACTGCGAGTATTGCTCATTGGAAACAGAGCAGCTCTTCCCTGGGCCCTGAGAAAGGAAATTGTAGTCCTGCCTTTTCTGGAAACTCAGTGCAGCTGGGACATTTTTACTTGGGACGGCAAACTTCTGCTCTTTAAATCAATGGTCTGCAACCATCCCCGAAAGCTGGACACTGGGCTTCCCAGGTGACACAGAGCTCACAGGACTTTGCCTTCATGTTGTGCACCAACGATTTCCATTGCGCCACAAATTTCACTCATCAGTTTTTCCAAGCATCTACATGACAAAGGTCAAATAGCAGAAGGGCTTTTAAACTGTTTCAGAAACGAGTAAACTGCATGTTAATTGATTTGTCTGGCCCTCCAGAGTCTACTTGTTAATTGATTAATGAGACCTGCTGGGTAGTGAAAGGTGAAAAGAATGGGACTGATCAACAATAGTTCTCTCTGCTAAGAGAGTGGTCACTGCACAGTGTAGAAAGAGGTGGGAAATCACAGCCTCTGACCATTGATACTGACTTGACAACTTCCTGATAATTGATAATAATTATCATTATGTTGTGATTTATGACACCACATTGTAATACAGAACAGTAAGAATGGTATTCAATAGCTATGTGATAAAACTGATTGATAATCCAAGTTTTGTTGGCCTTCCAAAGGGTTAAAGATCACCACTGTCTTTACTCATAACATAATAATTAAAAATCATATTGCTTATAATATATATAATATGTTCTACTGTCAACTACCACATTACTTGTAACAACAGCAAATTCACAGGTTTATTGTTAGGAAGCTGACAGTCTTTTTGTTGCAGGTGCTGCACACACTTCTTATTGAGCAGACACGACACGGGAAATGTCATTATGTTATTGATTAACATTAGTCATTAATAGAGTTGACCAACAGGAGTGTGGCTGTGCTGTGAAAGTCACAGTCCAGTGGTGTGAGGGCACTGCTGAAAGCAGAGCAGCACAAGCTGTGCATCTGAGACTCCTGCTTTGAGCCAAGTGCAGGCGCTGTCCCGGGGGAGTCTGGACAAGCTCATGCTTGTTCATGGGTCTCTGAGCCCATATGGTTTGAGCAGTACATGGATTTTGTAGCTATAAAGCTGTTGTGATAAGCAATCAGCAATTCCATACTGGGTGAAAAATAATAAGCTATTCTCAATCATTTTTAATAAAAGATTAGAAACGGTCCAATTAAAACTTCAAACCCTGGCCTACTTTGCTTTTGGCATTCCATAAATTAATCCTGCTTACAGACTGATGAGCGGTGTGTTTGCACAGGTACTCAAAGACAGGCTGGGTTCTGGACCAGACCAGTGTCTTCGCCCAGGTGGACGCATTTGTGCAGCGCTGTAAGGACTTGCTAGAGGTAGGTTCTGTCGTTTGGTAGGTTCTGAGATTCAGAATCCATTGTTTTGACATTAAGCTGGCCAACTGTGATGTATGAAATCTGGTACAGAACATCAGTATTCAAAAATATACAGTATGATTTTGTAATTGTAAAACTCACTCACATGAGTAATAGATACACATGTTTGTGGTCAGTATATTTTCAACACCAACCCCTAGGTGCTGTATTTTCAATTAGAAATTGCTTCAGGCCATATGTATACCTATTCCAGGTGTCACAAACACAAAAAAAACAGTGTAACGGCGCTAAAAAGGGGTTTTGGCTGCATAGTAAAATTCACACATCTATTGGACCTGACAGCACTCAGAGGTACCGTTCATACATACAGGATCATTCCTGTATGTGGTTTTCATTTTAGTTACTCTGACCTAATGCATGTGCCTCCATGAAGCTAGTATTTCCATGGTCTTTAGCAACCACACAGCTAAGACCTGGGCTTTCTGAGGAACTGTGTACCAGGCCCTGGTGAGCCCCAGTCCAGTAAAGTCTTATTGGTCACTTTATGTCATCTGTTTCAGAAGATTGGGAATGCTTGAAATGTATTGGCCAGTTAATTAAGGCAACTCTGGTTCTCGACCGCTGAAGTGTTTAACTACTTCATTTAATAATTCATGTGTCATAATAAATTGTTCTGTGTCTTCAGAATTGGATGTAATACTATTTATGTGTCAAACCAGTTGCACTGGGACTCCCCAGGACTGGGGTTGGAGATGCTGCCCCATCTCCTTCATTCCTCTCTGTTCTCTTCCTTCCTTCCCACATCCCTGCAGGTCTGTGAGTGCCAGCAGCACTTTGCCCGCAGGGAGGATGGGACCCAGACACCGCTGCCGTGTTTCGGGGGCCGGCAGGGGCCGGAGATCGCCCGCAGCCTGCTTGAGATCGAGGGCACCTTCGAGAAGAGCCTGCAGATTCTGCACTCTGTCAAGAAGGGCATCCTAGACGTCAAGAACACCTCCTGGCATGACGACTACAACAGGTCAGCCTGCAGGAAGCAGAGAGGGGGGCTCGGAGGGGCAGGAGACCTCTCTGTGTCCACTCCAGTGGACAAACACCATTGTATCAGGGTCTGGTACTCACTCCGCCACATGCCTGGACATTGTCTTTGAATCAGTCAAGACTGAAATTCTGTTTCTGAAATTGATTGGGCATTGAACTGCTGCAGCAGTCTGCTACTGGAGCTACTGGGAGGGGTTTCTTAAACCATTGTAGTGGGATTGGGCATTGCCATCGCTGTTTGAAAGCAGACTTTTTTGCCATTTTGTATTATAATCAGGGGAAGAGTGACAAGAAGGAATAGTTGCGCAACAGTGAAACTGCCAGGCAATTCGATTCATGTGCACCAAGTCACCCAAAACACTTTGAACTCAACCGTGAAACAACAGCTGATCCTTCAGTAAAGGTCCAGACAGGAGTTTTCAGTGTGTGATCTGCTGACCACCTGACAGGGAAAGAAAGGCCTGTCTTCTATTCCAGTCCAAGGCCCGGAGGTCAAGCCTAAGTTTGGGCCGACACGCTAATTGCACAATCACTTTGCCCCTGACAGAGGAGTGATCTGAAGAGAGTAAAGCCACCCCTTAAGCACTGACTTTGTGAGAGGAGTTCAGGCCCTACTCCGTGGTCTGAGTTAACCCGGGCTGCGTGCGTGCGTTTGTTTACCACCACAGGTTCCGCGCCAGCGTGAAGGACCTGGAGGTGATGACGCAGAACCTGATCACCACGGCGTTCGAGACAGTCAGCACCGTGGAGCAGGGCGTGGAGCTGCTGGACGTCTTCCAGCACCTCTCCACAAGAGAGGTCAGACAGCACCTCAGGACCTGAACCTGGAATCACTTTAATCTCCGCTGAGTCGGAATTCTTATTAGATACTCAGACCATCAGGCAGCAGTGTGGAGTAGAGCCGTGGGCTCTGGGAAACTGGGAAGATGTGGGTAAAAATCCTCTAAAGGGTGCTGATGATGTACCGTTTAGCAAGGCACTTCACTCAAGTTGCTCCTTGATTGCTGGTTCAAAGGGCATCTTAAGGCAGCATACATTCCCCCTCAAAAATGTGAGCCCCACCAAAAATGTGCATTGAGCACTGACCTATCAAGGCTTACATTGACACCTCTACCCCCCCAAATCCCCTAGAAAATTTGATTCCACCCCACAATGACATCTAACCCTTTTTCCCTTCCACCCTTCTCCTCCAGGCCATCAAGCGTACCATAGACAGGAAGACGGTGGACATGTACACACTGTTCAACGAGGAGATGAACCTGGTCAACAAGGAGCTGAGCCACAAGGCCTTGCACCTGCCTGCACACATGCCACAGCAGGCCGGGCAGGCGCACTGGGCAAGAGCCCTGCGTCGCCGCATCGACAGGCCCATGGAGGTGAGCCTCGATCTGACTCGCGTCGTCTTGTATTAATTCCTGCCTAAAGGTTAAAAAACCTTTGGCATCTTCAGTCTCAGGACAGGCTACCTTAAAGCTCTCTTTGAGAGGACATAGGCTAAACGAACATCCTTATAGTGAGAATTACCCTCACTGAGCTCATGCTCTGGAAGAGCGTCTCTGTCAAGCCCTGCAGTTTTTGCTGTTCTCAAAAAAACAATTAGCAGGTCATCAAGTGCAGGGCTCCAACATGCTAGAATACACAGAGTATACCTACTGCACAGCAGCAAGCACAGGAGTGGACACAAATGCCCTACTTTCTGGAGCCTCTTACGCGATGCAGGGCCTGACGCAGACACTCACGCACGTGGCCTTTTGTTTTTCCCTTCCCCTGGCCGTTGTGCTCAGGTGCTGCAGCGGGCGCACTTTGTGCCGCAGATCGGCAGCGGCGAGGAGGCTCGCACGGCCTACCTGCAGCTGGCGCAGACGCTGGACGAGCTGGTGAGGAGGATGTTCAGCGAGTGGAGCCAGAGTATTGACCGGCACAGCCTGAAGAGACTGGACTCCCCCCTCATGAGCCGCTGCCAGGAGAGAGCCGGCATGCTGGACCTCAACTTTGACAAGTCAGGGGCTCGAGCTTGTTAAACTCTCACTGCCTCATGCCACTTTCTCTCTCTGAGTTTCTCTCTGTGTGCTATGCAAGCAAGACCTATTGGTGTGACATGTTACACGGGTACAGCTAAAGCAGTTGTGCAAAACAGAATAGTATTAATGAGCATTAACAGTTTGCACAATATGTTGCAGTACAATACAGAGGTGTACAGTATAATACAGGACAGTACAGCACCTTGCTCAGGACAGTGTGAGAGGTCCTCCCTCCCTCTTGTGCAGCTGCACAGTGGCAAGTCCAGTCCTCTTTCTTTCTGTGTGGAGGAGCTGACAGCCTGTGTGTCCATCAGGCTGTGACAGCAGAAGGGCACGGTGCTGGCAGTCCAGCTGTGTGCTTGTCCTGTTGTCCTGAGTCAGACAGGTGTAGAAAAGGCTCTTGAGCCAGATGGGGTTACTTAATGTCAGTCCAGATCCTGGGGAAATCCTCAGCTCTCAGTTTGGGCCTCCTGCAGCGCAGCACTGCTGTTTTTCAACATCTTGTTACAGATGTTGTTGGGCCCACAGGCTTTCCTGACCTTGAAGCCCTGGAGCTTGATTTGCGTTTGTTCTGGGGTTACTGGTGCTTCCGGAGGGGTTCTGCTAAACTTTAATAGCTGTTTCTAGTTTGTGGAGGGTTTGGAGGACAGTCCTTGTGTTCTACCCCTCAGGTCTTTGTCATTGTATATATATGATATAGGTTTTTGTAAATCATTTAGCCAGATGTTACTCTTTTGGTTGGCTAGTCATTTTTACTAGCTAGAAGGGTTAAGCTGTTGCCAGTGTGCCCAGAAGGCATTGTCTTTGATAGATTCCTCAGTCACACATGAACCTGCTTTGTTTCCTCCCGAGAAGCTGTTGTGCTCCTCCAGGCTGTAGTAGTAGCTTGGCTGAGTGGTCTCCCTGTCTGGCTCCCTGTGTTTCTGCTTTGACAGTACTCTCAATCTTCCCCAGCTAGTCTTGTACTCACTGACAAACCATTTTTCTTTCTGTTGCGTTTAGTTTTTTTGGTGAGGTTAGGTTATCTAAAACCTGTTTCTTGACTTGAAACTGTGATGTACTGTAGGAGAGGCCAAATTATCTTAGGAGACTCCGACTACAGTGATGCTAGAAAGTTTTTACTGAAAGCATAGGTTCAAATACTTTTTCCAACAAAGACATTTAATGTTGGATCATTTTGATCAATAATTGAATGAAAAAGTATATGCTTCTGTGTGTTACTTGTTTTATTGGGTTCACTTTATCTATTTTTATGACTTAGATGAAGATCTGATCCCATTTTAGGTCAAATTTATGCAGAAATTCAGAAAATTTTAAAGGGTTCACAAACTTTCTAGCACCACTGTACTGTAACTTGTGGTCATTAGAGATCCCACTGTGCTTGAAAGAGAATGGATGTTGACTCTAGTGCCTTGCTTTAATTTCTTTTGCCTCTTTTTCCATCTGACATTACCTACAGTACATTTCTTCCTTTCTTTTAACTCCTTTCTTTCCCATCTGATTTACTGTGTGCCCAGCTCACCAAACCGCGTTGACTATTGGACATTGTCAAAACATCCCTTTTACATCATTGTCACTTCTGCAGTGTATCACCAACATGGTATAGCTGTAGTAGCCACTTTGTTGAGCTGGAAATATTATATCTGTAACCATAAAATCCTCTACAAACTTGAACTTAAAAAAAAAACATTTGGACTTAGCCAAGTATGTGAGCTGGTGTCCCCCCGAGAGGGAGCTGTACGTGTGAGGGGACAGCAGATTGTGTCTCCGTGTCAAACGGTTTTGTCCCTGCGCGTGACCGCTGTTGTGCACGGTGGCTCCAGGACCCTGCTGAAGATGTTTCGGGAGATCCACTACTGGGAGCGGCTGCTGTTCGAGATCCCCCACTACGTGTCGGAGGTGTGCCAGCGCAGCGAGGACCTGCGCAGCCTGATGGAGAACGTGCTGCTCGTGGTCCGCGACTACAACAGGTGAGGCTACCTGTCCTGGCTGGCCGCGTTCCACTCCCGACCCCCAAAGACTGACACATACAGTATGCTGCAAAAAACTCCCACACAGGATCGGTCTTTCGTAGCATTTATTTCCCGCACACCTGTTTGATCAGGTGTGTAGATAGTTGTACTGTTCTGTGATAAAGCTGAACAAATTCAAATCTGTTTTTTTTTTCACTTTGGATTTCTGTAATAGTCTGTGTGCTGTATTATGCATGTATCTGTTGCCCTCAGGATCATCGAGGCGCTGTCCCAGGAGGAGCTGGGACTGTTCCGCGAGCGGATCCGCTTCCTGGATAAGAAGATCCAGCCCGGGCTGTCCAAGCTCCTCTGGTCCTCCAAAGGGGCGTCCAGCTACTTTATCAATGACTGCCGGCTGCATGCCAGCAAGGTAGGAGGGAGAAAAAGAATCGGAGCGAGGGTCCTCACTCCCGGACCTAATCCCAGCTTCCCAGCCTTCCAAATAAATGTGCTAGCTCTGTCACTGTTGAAGTCTTATCCTTGTACGAAAAGAGACAGCATGTAAAGCAGCATCTATCCCCATTCTCGATGGCCACAGGCTCATCTAGTTTTCATTCCACTCCCAGTCTTAGCTTACTTAATTGAGCTAAGAATTCTAATCACCTGTATTCTGCATTCTTCATCATTTACTAATTGAAAATTAAATATTAAACCTGCAAGATGACTATCGAGAGCTGTTCTCCATCCCAAATGTACAATAACCTTATATTTACAAGTGGTGGTGTCGTTGGTTTTGCTATGTCCTGTTTAAAAGGGTCATAAGATAAATGATGAGGAGTGCAGGGAAAGGTTCTCTCAAGGGTTTGGGGGCCACCGGGGCTGGAGAATTTCAGAGCTTTGTGCTCCAGAGTAGAATTTCTTCCCAGAAGACTGAGACAAAGTCGTAAATTAAATAAAGTGTGGAAAGCCAAAATAAAATTAGTGTTTTCCACCTGAACAAAATTTAGGGATTTAAAATCAGTTCTTTTTGGAGGATGATGAAGTTGAGCCAGCCGTGATCTGGAGCACAGTTCTTGAATGTTGTCCTGTTTGTATTAAAAAATAGGATGCACAAAGAGAATGAGGTATAAAGTAGAGCCTGTGATATGAGGGACTTGTGAAGAGGTTATGGCTGTTTTTCTGTTTTCTTGCTCTCCAGCTGCAGCTAATCGTGGATGAGTACAAGGCTGCCAACCTGCTGGTGTCGCGTGCTGCCCGCCAGATCAGCGAGCTGCTGCTGGTGCACATTGACGGCAAGCGCATCTACCGGGACCTGGAGTTCGAGGGCGACCAGCTCGCCCATCAGGACAGCCAGCAGCAGCGCCTGATCACTCTCCACCAGGAGATTGTGGCCATCATGGCCCGTGTCTACGAAACGTTCCGCACAGATGGACCCGAGGTGCCTCCTGCCTGCCTCCTCTTCTCCTTTCTCTCACCCCCCCTCTCTTCTCTCCTTTATCTCCTCTGTGCCACTATCTGCCCCCTCTCTTTCTCTTCCTTCAGAAAGGACAGAACTTCTCCTACTGCCCAGGTAGTAGGAAGCTCTCTGCCTCGTCTGCTAGAGACCCGCTGGGAACTTCAGGTTGTTCCTACTATTGCCTACCTTCCAGTTCAGGGTTGTGGGACTTAAGGGCTTTCCTATCCTGGCACCAAGTAGGAGTACATCCTGAGCATAACACCAGTTCATCTCAGGACACACATACACTCACATCAGGGCCAATGTTCTCAGAAGCCAATTAACCTACCTACCATTATGTCTTTGGACTGTGGGAGGAAACTGGAGCATCTGGAGGAAACCCACACGAACATGGGAAAAACATACAAAGTCCACTTATATTGCACCCCAGGTCAAGAACTGAACCCAGGTCCCCAGTGTTGCCAGGAGACAGCAGTGCTCACCACTGCGCTACCATGCAACCCTGTTGCTCTTCAATCTCCTATTCTTCTCCCCTCACACAAGTATCCTTTTTTTCTCTTTCTGTTTCTCTTTGTCTCCCTGTGTCCCGCCTGTGTCTTTTGACCCCTCTCTTCCCTCCCCACAGGTGCAGCAGCACTGGGTGAACTACACAGATAAGATGGACCGCATGGTGGAGGAGGCCTTCCGCCTTAATGTGAAGTGGTCCCTGCAGGAGCTCTCCAAGGCCATCAACGGAGACACCAAGACCTCACCTAACCCCCTCTTCAGGGTACTGGTGATACTGCACCAAGAGGCGCCAGGCTCCACAGCACAGGTACTGTGACATACTGCAACACACAGCACGGTCAGTTCCAAAGTACTCTCTACAGTGATGAAGCATATTCTACAATCTTTCAACAAAAGCCTCCATGTGAAACTGAGGTTTGGGCCTGATTCTGTTAACTGTTCAAAGAATGATGACCAAGTTATTTTGGAGTCGTTGAAAAGTGTCTATAAATGGCTCTGGATAGAGACAGAATCCCTTTAGTCTTAAACAGTTGAAGCTAGTAGGAGACCTGACAAGTATCCAAAATTGTGAAGGCCGAAGAAAGTAAACCCAACAGATAACTTCATTTGAACATAATAAAAAGAGTCTCCAAATGAGATTAAGCTGCACAACTAACTTGAACCAGAACGAACATGTGAGACATCAACTAGATAACAGAAGAACAAACTAGTCATGTGCATTTTAGAATGAGAATATAAGACATTACTTTGCACACAAGGTGGCATGTGTGTGAGAAAACCTGCCCATCCATGTTTTTGAAGCTGATACCTGAAGAAACGCTACCCTCGGATCAGTCAGCTGCTAGCAGCCCAACAACCTAGACAGGCTGAACAGAGCTCCTCTCGTCATAAGCATTTAGTGTTCTAGTGTATGTTCATACTTAAAATTGTGTTTTTCCATGTGTGTTTGCAGGTGGAGTTCTCTCCCACTCTCCAGAAACTGGCTAACATCGTCACCAACATCGGCAGCCAGCTGATCAGCACCATCTCCGTTTTCAAGCGGCTGCCCGACCTGCTGACCAGGCGTCGGTCCCAGCGTGAGCACATCCACTCCATCATTGGTGAGCGTCCAACCAAGAGACATGGTACTCAGAAGCCCTCTGGGTACCCGAGACTCTGCCACCCCCCGGTTAGAGACCCTCTGGACACCCAGGACTCTGCCACCCCCAGCGTAGAGACCTTCTGGGTACCCAGGACTCTGCCACCCTCAGCGCAGAGACACTCTGGGTACCCAGGACTCTGCCACCCCCCAGTGCAGAGACCCTCTGGGTACCCAGGACTCTGCCACCGCCATTTAGTTTTGAAACCTTATTTCAAAACTAAATTTCAAACAAAAAAAAGATTGACCCTACTGCATGTATCCATCTGCAAAACATTCCCAGCTCCCAACTTCAGAGACAAGGTTGCAGAAATGAGTGTTCAAAGCCTGTGTCTTAGCAGGTTTATTTCAGCAGAATATTAACTGGCTCCTGCCAGGACGAGCAAGCATCCAATAAGCTGACAAAAGTCATCATTATCTAATACAGTAAGTATAGTTTAACGAACAACATTTATCATGCATTAAAAATCTTTAATTAATACAGCTGGAATGGAGAGTGCCTGTAATTATGTGTACGACTGTACATTCATTGCTTTTAGATGTGGTTCCCTGATAGAATGTACTGTAGCTGTTTTATCTGGGGATATGTAGAGTGCTAGTGCCTCCAAGGCATTTGCGTCGTTCAGCTCCTGCAGACAAAGCAGAGTTTTTGTTTTCCCGGAGTTTTATCTGTTGTTAAGAGCAGCAGCCTGGGCTTGCGTCAGCAGATGTTTGAGGCTGATAATGGCGGTGCATCTCTGCTTCCAGCATCCAGTTCACAAGAATCCTCCAGCTGACACAGGTCACCCAAGTAACTCTTGTGAGCAAGGACAACATCCACAAGTTACAGAGCTAGGACAACATCCACAAGTTACAGAGCTAGGACAACATCCACAAGTTACAGAGCTAGGACAACATCCACGCGTTACAGAGCTAGGACAACATCCACGCGTTACAGAGCTAGGACAACATCCACGCGTTACAGAGCTAGG